ATGAAGACTAGATCATGGGCATGATCTCTGTTCTCTTATCTGAATGCTTTTGCGGGTTGTGATCAGCGAACCAGTATGTGTATTTGAACTCGGGTGTGTAAGTTAAACTATTTGCTTCCGCATGTTTTACAAGACTTGTTTTGTAATAACGATGACTCTGTGATGATGTAATCTATTTGCGAATGTCTGTGAAATGTTGTAACGTACGATATGTTATGTTGAATTACTGTGATCTTGGTTGTATGCAAGTTGGTTTGAAATCCTTTGAGATTTCAGTTGACTACCGGGTTTATATGGGCTCAAGTTCGAGAATTTGATCGTTTTGGCGATTGTTTTTGTACTTGTGCTCTTATAAATTGGTCGGTTCTGTGACAATCATGAGGCCTTTCGTTCCTTGTAAATAACGCAAGACTTTCTTTACTAATTTCCAGTGTTCTGTTCCAGAATTGCTGTGGAATCTGCCAAGTAAAATCCGGTAACAAATACTAAGTCAGGGCGCATCCATACTTGAGCATATTGCAAGCTTCCGACAACTGAAGCATATGGAACCACTTTCATTTGATCAATCTCATATTGGTTCCTGGGGCATTTAAAATCCCCATATCTGTCGCCCTTGACTATAGGAGCAGGTGAGGGACTATATTTGTGCATACATAATTTCTTTAAGATCTTTTCTATGTATGTCTTTTGTGATAGTCCTAATACCCCTTTATTTCTATCTCGGTGAATCTCGATCCCTAGAACGAATGAAGCTTCACCAAGATCTTTCATATCAAATTTTGATGACAAAAACATCTTTGTCTCCAGTAGTAGACTGACATCACTACTAGCAAGTAAGATATCATCCACGTACAGGACAAGGAAGATAAACTTCCCATTCTTAAACTTTGTATAGACACAATTGTCCTCTACATTCTCTTTAAACCCAAGATTTTTTATTATCTGATCAAACTTCAAGTACCACTGTCTTGAAGCTTGTTTTAATCCATAAATGGATTTCTTTAGGCGGCATCCCATTCGTTCTTTTTCTTCCTTGACAAACCCTTTCAGTTGTGCCATGTAAACATTTTCCTCCAAGTCTCCGTTGAGAAATGTCGTCTTTACATCCATCTGATGTAATTCTAAATCGTAATGTACCACTAATGCCATTATGATTCTGAAGGAATCCTTACATGAGACTGGAGAAAATGTCTCATTGTAATCAATCCCTTCTCTTTGCGTAAAGCCTTTTGCCATAAGTCAGGCTTTATATCTCTCTATATTCCCTTGAGAGTAAAGTTTTGTTTTATAGACCCATTTACAGCCTACTGTTTTGGCTCATTTAGGAATTATCTCCAAATCCCAAACTTTATTGGCATTCATCAATTTCATTTCATCTTCCATAGCCTTAAGCTACTTTGATGAATGATCACTTCTCATGGCTTCTTAAATGAGGTGAGATCATCCTCCATTTGAAATTCCTTAGTGTTGTACACTTCATAATCAGCAGGAATAACTGATTTTCTAACTCTTTGAGACCTTTTAGGGGCCTTCATATTTGGCACATCTTCTGTTTGAGGCTGTTGTTGCTCCCCCTCATGTGAGGTAATGGGTTCTATAGGATCCTAAAGAACATGTTTCTCATTTTTATTCATTGTTGCCATAGGTGGAATAACAATAGGTGCTGACACCATAGTATCTTGCACTATCGGTGCAGCGACAGCATGTAGTGAGAAAATTGACTCATGAATCATTGGAGTGGGCGCATACACCCGCTTCACTTCAAGGTCAATTTCTCGAGCTACCATGCTCCCCTTCATCAATTCATCCTCTAGGAAGACAGCATGTCTCATTTCCACAACCTTTGAATGTCTGTTTGGACAGTAGAAACGAAGACATTTTGACTTTTCTAGGTAGCCAATGAAATGACAAACTTACTATTTTGGGATCTAACTTCCCAATGTTTGGGTTAAATACTTTAGCCTCAGCAGGGCTCCTCCACACACTCAAGTGGTTTAGTGAGGGTACTCTTCCTGTCCATAACTCATACGGTGTTTTGGGCACCGACTTACTTGGTACTTTATTGAGAATATGAATGGCGGTTTTTAACGCCTCCATCCACAGGCTCAACTGTAAGGTGGAGTAACTTATCATATTACGCACCATATCCATTAGGGTATAATTTCGTCTTTCAGCTATTCCATTCTGCTGAGGTTCACCCGGTATAGAATACTGGGCTACTATGCCATTCTCCTGTAAGAACCTAACAAAAGGTCCAGAAACTTGGTCATATGGGGTATGCCGACCGTAGTACTCCCCCACGGTCGGACCTGACTATCTTAATCTTTAAATTGGGTTGATTTTTAACTTTTGCCTTAAATATCTTAAATTTATGCAATATTTCTTTTCTTTCTTTGATTGGATAAATGTAGCCATAATGGGAGTAATCATCTGTGAATGTTATGAATGAAACATAACCATCCACACTCTTTACAGGAAACTGACCACAGATGTTTGTGTGAATAATCTGTTAAATTCTTGCGCTTCTTTTGACATCTTTCTTAACTTTCTTTACATAATTTTCTTTTATGCATTCTCTGCATTGTTCTAAATCTGAGAGCTCTAATGGAGGAAGAATATTATTCTTAACTCGTCTTTATATTCTCCCCCTCGAAATATGGCCTAAACGACAATGCCATAATTTCAACGACGCATCGTGAGCTCTCTTATGCCAACATTTCCAGAGTAAGTCTCTGTCACTAGCTGCTTTATCAGCTAGGTAGCATGTCTTTGAAGAGCCAATGAACTGACTCTTTATTCTATCGAGGTACTCGGTGACCGTGTCTCACTCTGGGATTGAGCCCATAATTACAGGCTCAATCGTGTTCTTTATCACAGCCAAATATTTCTGGTTAGCAGTGACCCACTTCCTATACACAAGGGCATATGACATCTTTCGGGATTCAAAATCCCACTCTTTAGTTGCCCAAACGGCATCAACCTCGTTTGTCTCCCTCACCGGTGCCACAGGCTCTGTGGAACACGGCGAGGTGACTACCCAGTTCACCTTAGACAAGATGAAAACCAGGTCAAACATTTTCTTAACATAAAAATAACACCATTTGCATGCCTTGATTTCAACGTTGGTCAAAATCAAAACATACAACTGTTCTTTTACACTAATTCTACATCACCGTTGGGCAGAAATAGAATTAATGTATAAAATTATTAAAATTCACAATTGTTCTTACACACTAATTCTACATCACCGTTGGGCAGAAATAGAATTAATGCATAAATCATTAAAACAAATTTACAACTGTTCTTATACACTAATTCTACATCACCGTTGGGCAGAAATAGAATTAATGCATAAATCATTAAAATTACGATATTGTTATTAACAACGTTGGTCAGAAAATAACAACATCATAATCATGTCAAAGTCACCTTTTCTCCAATTAAATATTATGTTGGTTCAAAATAACTGGAGAATAAACAATTTCTTTAGCAGCGGAAAAAAATCTCTTTTTCTCCAATTAAATATCACATTGGTTCAAATAACTGGAGAATCAACTATTTCTTTAGCAGCGGAAAAACTATACTCAATTTCTTGAATTTTTACCCACAGGGAAATTCTCTTTTCTCTATTTCTTTTGAGCCATTTTCCATTTTTCAATTTACTAAAAAAGAAAAAAGGAAAATGCGGGCTCATTCTGCTTCTCTCGGCCCAAAAACCGGCAAAAAAGCCGTCTCGACCAATGGGCAAGTTGAAGCAGTAGCATTGTGAATAAAGGCGCTGTGGTCCATTCTTGTGGCGCATCCCCAATAAGAGATGGCCCTTCTTGCGTGTGTCCCGTGCCGAGCCGCAACACCGGGCCTAGGCTAAGCAAAGCGACCTCCCGCTCGCGCCCGCCTGGGCCTGATCCTGGCCCAATCGCGCTCCGCCGTCGGATCGCATCCGACGGTCGCCCCGCCGTCTCGCCCGAACAAAACGCGGACGCCGGTGTCTTCCCAAACCCTAAACTTTCATTTGCGCCTCCTCCTCTCTCTCACTCTCTCAGCCGCAGCGAGCACCGAGCGGCGACCGAGCAACAACGGCGGTGGAGCGAGGCAGCCATGGCGCCGTCGCCGGCCCCCTCGCCAGCGCGCGTGCTCCCCAACGGGTGAGCACGCCGCCGTCGAGCGGCCTGGCCACGGCGCCCCCTTGGCCGAGCCCAGCGAACAGCTACCCCCGGCTCGGCCCTTCTTCTCCCGCGCCGGCGAAGGGCCATCCCGACGCACGGCGAGGTAGGTCCCTACCCTATTCTTCCCCGTCCCCTTCTCTCTTTTGGGATTAACCCGTGGTGGGGATGGGGTCAAAATTAGGGTTAGGGTTTCAGGATTTGCACTGTTCTTTTCGTGCGCCGGCGAGGCGACAGCGCGGTGCAGGCAGGCCTCCCCTTCCCTTCTTCCCTTTCTTATTTGCTTTTGGACCTTCTTTCTTTTCGTTTCGGAGTTCATCCGAATGGGGATCTAGGGTTAGGGTTTCATTTTCTTTTGATTTCTTTTCCTTTTCGGAGTTCATCCAAATCGGTTCCCTTTCCCTTCTTCATGCGAGTTAGGGTTAGGGTTCGGTTGAACCTTTTCTTTTAATTTCTTTTCTTTTCGGAGTTCATCCGAATCGGTTCGTGGGTTAGGGTTCGTGTGCCGAGGGCCCTTCCTCTTCACCCAGTTAGGGTTAGGGTTTTCTTTCCCACGGTCTGTTCTTCTTCCTCACGATCTGTTCGTGGGTTAGGGTTTGGCTTGAAGTGCCGAGAGCCCTATCTCTTCTCTGATCCGAATGGATGTTCTTCTCTTGTTTTCTTGCCGCGCGCCGGCAAAAACGTCGGTGCAGCATCTTTCCCACTTGTGCGGTGGCGGTGGTGACCGGCAATCAGTGACGTCCGCCACCCCCGGTCTCTTTTCAGTTACTTTTACCCGGTTAGGGTTAGAGTTTCAATCCGAAACGGATTTAACCCATGTTCTTTCTTTTCTATGCTCTACCCGATACCGTCCTTGGCTCTGGTACCATTGTTAGGATCACAGTGGACCTCTAGACCATATATCGGGGTAGAGCTTCTACTAGATGGGGGAAAACAGCTGGTGTACCTTCGTATGGGTCACCCTTTGGTACATGGCCACCGGTGTCGTGGCAACTCCGGCGTAGACGCCGGTACCGCGACGTTGTTGGCATCGTGGTGGCGATACAGTGAAGTCCAGTGGCCCGGTGGAGACCCTGCAGAGACGACGGCGGTGCGGTGGGGCATCCCGTCGCTGGCAGCACTGCTTTAGATCGGTTTAGGTTTTCTCTATCGGTGGGTACAGCGGCTCCGTTGAACCTCATAGTCCGAGCCCTGATCCCCACCTTACCTTTTATATGTGCTGTGCGACAGGGGCCCACCAACCGTATTAGGGTTGGGCGCCCCCGATCAGGGCGCAGATCCAAGGGCCCAATAGGCCGTTGGGCCTATTGGTAGAGATCAACCAACAGCGGGAACTCGATTGCCTCGCGGGTGATGGGGAAGCCAATGGTGATGATGGCGGTGGCGGTGGCGCCGGGTTCAGGGTCGGGGGTGGACATGACGATGCCCGTCCACCAGCCGTCGTAGTGGAACACCTCTACGATGTCGTAGAGGTGGAACCGCGGCGGGGACGACGACTCCGATGGGGGCGGCGGCGGCGGTGGCCGGGGACGGACTTGGATGGCCGGTACAATCTCCGTGATGGCGCTGCAGACATCATTGTTGACGAGGTGCGAGTATGTGGCGGTGTAGTCGCGGACGCGGCGGCCATTCGCGAGCGCGAAGTCGACGATCGTGGCCTCGTACCAGGAGCCGTGGAATCCTTCGCCGTCGAGGCGGACCTCGACCTCGGCGCCGCGGGGCAGGAGCAGGGGCGCAGGTGACGAGGCCGTGCTCCAGTGCTGGCCGGACCGGCGACGGCGACGGCCGCCGGTGGCGGCGGCCATTGGGGATCAATGCGTGAGTTGGGTGTGTAGTCTGAGTTGGACTGGTGGGCTGGTACCAAGAGCAAAGAGCTGCTGGAAGTGACGGCTAGCAAGTATATAATGGGCCCGATTAAGCTTACTGAACATGCCGAAAATCCGGATAAAGCTTAGCCCGTTAACAAGTTGAGACCAGCCCAGTGGCTTGTTCTTCCTCTCTGACTATCCGCGGCTGCCAATTTTCCAATTACTGTTCTGAGTTTTTTTTGTCAAGTACTAGTACGGTATGCGTGCATGTATATCAGTATATCATCTATTTATACACACTACTTGCTTTCATAATCACATGTGTGTGCTTGCATGTTAATTTATTCACTATATGAGCAACCTATATGAATAATAAACACAATGAGTGAATTTATTATTCAACTAACGTGGACCAAAGTCACCTTCATTGCTGAGAGATAAGGCTAAAGTAAGATTATGAAAAAATTAATTCTAATATATCATATATGAAGATATGCAATTTATATCTATATCTATATTATTTTATATTTTTAAACCCCCACCATAAGTTCTATCACAACATACAAGCCATCTCTTGTAAGTCGAAATGCTCAAGTGCAAAGAGGCGCGGCAGACATTGAACACGAGAAGAATAGAAAAAAAAAATTGAATTGTGCTTTCCATTGATTGATCTCTGGTATATGGCAAATAGTCACCTTGATGTCCCTTCGGGATGTCGGTGTTACACGAATGAATAGTAACCGCGGGATTAGATCTATGGTTAATACTAAGCTAATCCACTTGAAGATGGATCCCTGGGATGACATTGCCGGCTTGCGATTGGTTGATTTGGTTCTTAATGCCATCCGCATCAATTATCACTAACTATCCAAATCATCTCCCACTGATGCCACGCCAGTCGACTGCTTTTAACTTATTAATGTAAGCCATCCACATCACCTCCACTAAGTACAATTACTATTTTCTCGCATTAACTATCCACATCATTTTCCACTAATATCATGTCAATTCACTAACTTTCAACCTATTAATTCAAGTCATCTACATCATCTACACTAAGTGCAATTATTGTTCTCAGTATATAAGAATATATACGAGGTATGCTTGTAGTATACCGTATACTCTAACATAACCAACTTTTTTTTAAACAAGGGCTTTATTAACGACACTTCAGTTCCGGTGCAAAATGAGGAATTGTTAAAATTCAGGTCCCTGAATATTTTGTTTCCTTTCAGACGACGATTGTCGTATATATTTTGTACTAAAGTTGCAAATTTCATTCATTGCAATTTCTATAGGGCAATCTGCAATTTTCAGTACCAACAATAAGAAATCCATTAGACAAAACCACAAACTTAACAAAATCTAATTTCTATTGACACAAAGACAATTAAAAATTTACAATTATTTCTATAGGCATATAAGGACAAAAATTTAATACCTTATGACATAAAGGCAAATAACAAATCACAAAAATAACGATTTACTTATATTAGTTGGTGGTACAAGAGTTGCCTGAAAATCATCTTCAAATTCAGATGGGAGAAGTGAGCAATAATATATGGTCAATTACTCATCCGATCCATACAGTCCAAGAGAATATATATATAACTAACACAGCTTAAAACTAAACAGCAAACACAACGAGCGAATGAATGAATTTATTTATTCAACTAAACGTCGACGACCGACCAAGTCACCTTCACTGAAACAGAAGCGATGTCATCAAGCTTTACTTCATTGCTGGCGCATCCAATGACGGAGCCAGAAAAAAAATTATAGGTGGGGCAAGTTCAACGAGAAAATAAACCAAAAAGGCATCATATTTACAAAACACCGCATTCACATGGCACAAAAATATTTTGTCAAATTGGCATACTCTGTTACGTTCTTGCTCTAATTTCAGATACTCATGAACTCAAAAAATCACAAAACAATACTTTTTTTATTGTTGTTCTTGCCAATGCCACTCCTGGGGACACCTCTGCTTCAACCTCGGCCGAATCCAGATGTTGGGGTAGTTGGTGCCCTTGCTCTACCGCTAACTTGACCGCGGCCATGGCCGGCCCCAGACCCCTCCTCCTCTCCTCCTCCCTCCATCGCCGGCTCCTACTCCTCTGCTGGCGCGCCTGGTGCACTCGAGCATCTGGGCGGTTGGCTGGTTGGGCACTGGCGGGTGGCCTAGCGCTGGCGGCGGCACTGTGGGTAGTGGCTTGGCGGCGGTGGGTGGCGATGGCGGCGTGTGGTGGCTGCCGGCGGGCGGCGGCAACCTAGAGCGCTCGATGGGGATTGCAGAATTGCGGTGCGGACGTGCGGATGCTCGATGCAGATAGTGAGCGCTCGATTGGGGAATTGGAGAACCAAATTGGGCCCTTATTGGGCTAAACTAAACTGACAAAAAAAGGCCCAGTGGGTTAGCAGGAGTCTTCTTCATCCGCTCGTTGCCCCGTTCGTTGGCTTGTCGGTCGTCGCCGTGGCGCCGCGCCGCAGCTTGCTCGGCAGCTCACGTCCTCAGCGCTCGGCAACCGGAGATAGGGAAGAATAGGGGGGTCCGGGGGTCCGAGGCTACGCCGCCGGTAGCTGGGGCGGCTGCCCCACCCCGCCCCTAGGGCAGCTCCATCAGTGGGCACATCCATGCACCTTAGTTTCAAAGGAACAACAACTCTCAACAACATTGGAGACGACGCCATTGTTCTGCTCTACCGCCTTTAACTTCAGATGTATCACAGTATCCATCGAGACAGCAACCACAAACCTCCTCAAGCAACAGGGTTCAGCGACATGGCCACCAAAGAGCTGAAACTCCTTGCGTACACCAAACAGCAACGATACAACACAGCCGAGAGAGAAATCGAAAGCACGATCATCTCCCACCTCGGATATGGCAACCTCCACCGTGGCCTCGAATCCGCAGACATCGCTCAACGACATGTCGACGGCGCCGCCGGCGTCGCCACTGATGCGGTGAGTGAACGGTTTGCCCGGCATGCGCATCCCGTCGTACTCCGTCATCCCGTCGATCAGCTGCACATTGTCTTCCTCCCTGTCCCCGGTCTTGATCCTCATGTCGAACTCCAAAATGACTTAGGTGTCAAGCGCGATGCCTCTCTTGGGGCCGGTCATCTCGATGGGAGAGCCCTGCCGCGCGGGCAGGGGCACGGCGATCGGATCGTCCCTGCTGCGTCTGAACACGTAGTTGAGCTTCGAGTCAACGGCGTCCCGTGTGGCGATGTACCCATACAGCTGCACCAACCCGGCCTCAGCAGCACCAGTAGTGTTCATTGGAGCTGGAGGAGCTCTAGCCAGCTTCAGCGAGAAAACCTGCAGCATGTCAAATGGCTTATGGTAGCCGCAGTCGTCGTCCGGCTCATCGTGCCAGCAGTCTGCGTTGGGCGCCGAGAACCTCATCGGCTCCACCGGTGTCTCGTCGCGGTCGGTGGGATCGAGCCAGAAGTACTCGGATTTCCAGTACCACAGATTCTTGAATATGGTGCCGTCACGGTGTCTGCTGTAGGGGATCATCCTCGCGGCCCATACACCTTCTTCTTCCTCAACTGCGGCGGCAGTGGTGTTGGCATCGCCGTCGTCGTCCTTAGTAGTGGTTATGGCGCTGATGATCGTAGTAGTGGTCACCTTGGAATAGGTTGCTCCAATGATGCTCCACGGTTGTCCGTGCAAGGAGAATCGGGAAAGCTGCTGGGTTGGAAGGGTCGTCGTCGATGCTGCCGCATCAGCGAGTCGTCCACGTCGTCGTTGTGGCGCAAGAGCTGGACACCACCAGCGAGTTCCTAGGGTCGACCGCGAGAGGCGCTGCATCTGCCTCTCTATCTCCTTGGTACGGTAGCCGGTGGCCTCTTCCGAATTGGCTGGGGATCGAACTGGCGGCGGCGGCGGCGGCTTTGGCCCTGGGGTGGGTGGAGGAATGGCCGGAGGACTATAGGAAGAAGAAGAGGGCCGGGCCGGGCTTGCCAAAGGAACGCCGCCAGGCCAGGCCGTATGTATGAACTACCTGTTGTTAGGCCCACTCGACCTTCCCAGGTCCATGATTGAGTAACTCTTCTTTCAATCAGTTTTTATCATTTTTTCCTCAGCCAAACAGAGTAACAGACAATAGGTTCTGGTGAGAACAAATTACTCCTCCATTCGCACTTAAAGCTAGAAATCACCGAATCACTGTAGAATTAATTCAAACCTGCTCTCTATCCTACTCTACCAGAATCACTTCATCAGGGAATCAAGAATCTAAAGCTAAGAATAATCTATTGCCGATTCATATCCCACGGCCGTCTTGCATATAGTACCTTCGTCCTTAGTGGCGGAGCTGGATATGGGAAAAGAGGAGTCCATATGACATCAAATGGAAGCACAGGGGATCAGATTGGTATTATTTTAGCACTTAAAACAATGAAGTACTCCTATACTAAAGTAATACCACTAGTGTTTAGTTTGGTGAGTCGTAACGCAAATGGGAAATCAAATTACAGGTTAATCGGAGGTGGGATGGATGATTGCGGCCTTCGGTTGCCGCAACCAGCCATGTGCAGCTCCTGCCATCATGATCTCCGCCAAGGAGCTTATGCGGCCACGGCACCGGCCTCCAAGATGAACCAGGCTTGCTTTCCTGAGTCTATCCCGTCGATGCCTACGCCGTGATCTGATTACGACAAAACAAAATGGCGAACCAAACACCACCTTAAAACTCAGATATAACAATCAATAATTATTAACCTAATATACTACTACGAGTATATGATCAGACAGTAGTACTGAAGAACGGTTTCACTGACAATCAGCTCAGGCAATAGTATCCTCACGAGGAGCTCCCGTTGCTTCTACAGCTTTCTTTTCTACTCTCCCACGAGCCCTTGACAAAGCCTCGGTCATATCAGAGTTCATTGGCACAGCAACTTTCAGCAGATCAATGAAAGCTTCGACATCCTTGACCTCCCCTTCATCTCCAAGATACTTAAGTATCATCTCAATCATCGAAGGCTCAGGGATCCAGCCAGAATTAGGGGCGTACATATAGAGGGCATTTTTGGTCAGCTCATAAGCTCTCGCGACATCACCTTTCTCCGTATAGCCACTTGCCACAATTTCCCAGCTTGTTGAAGGAGGCATCTTTCCCTTTATCAAGAAGCCGTCGAGCAGCGCCTCGGCCTTGTCCAGCAAGCCCTTTTGGCAGTACCATTTGAGCAGCACATTTGGAACTTTGAAGTGCAATTCATTTTTGCTGGACTCCCACTCTTTCAGCAAGTCTTCAGCTTCCACGATCTCATCAAGCTTCACAAGCACTGCAAGCATGTTGATGTAGTCCGTGTTAAGATGCCTCTTACAGTTCGACATTTGCAGCGCCCATAGCCTCTTGACCTCTGATTTGTCCCCAAGGTGGCCATACAGGGAAATCAAGCGTCTATAGGCATCCAAATCCTTTTTACCCATTTTTGCATCTGCTTTCTTTAAGGCAGAGTATGCCTTCTCCCTGAGGTCACCCTTAATGTATTGGCTTGCCATGACAGCATAGGTATTCCAGTCAACAACAATTTGAGGCTCACATTCCATCTCCTCCAGGGTGTTCTCCAACCCAAAAAAGTCAGCTCTTGTGCCATAAGAATTTATGCATATTCTGTAGCTAAAATTATCGGGAACAATCCCATTGCTCTTCATTTCTGCCATCACCAAAGGGACCCTCTCATGCTGCCCTATGTTGGTATAGAGGCTCATGAGGTTGTTGTAGGGGAGCGCGGTGAACACAAAACCCAGCTCTTTCATCTTCTGAAAATGGGCCAACGCTTTGTCGACCAAGCGTTCTCGTGCGTAGCAGTTGAGAAGTGCACCATATGGTTTCTCTGTCTTATCTTTGTCAGATAGGTTATTGAAGTAGGTCTCTGCTGCTCCAACTCCATGAATATGACCGATTAAATCCAGGTGAACAGCATGATCCTTTGGCAGAAATTTGACGTGGCCCTTGAGATTCATCCACTCAGAGACCTGTGCAAAATGAAAAGATAATGATCAATGAGGGATGCCAAGAATTCGTACAAAACTGTGCATACAGCAAGTCTGCAACGCCAAGTCCTAGTAATATATGCTTCTTGCGTTCAAAAAAAGTAATATATGCTTCTTGAGGGCATGTTTCACTAATCATGTGCTATGACAAAGAAAGCAATGATGGACAAGCTTGTACTGAATCCTATATGTTGACCAGCATTGTGGAGACAGATAGGGGTCAGCACATAAGTCGTACCTATGACTGAAAAGCAGACCAAAATCTCTCTGGACTCCTGAATTCCTAGCGATAATTCAAGTTGCCCTCTTTGTATCAGTCCTCTCCATGTCGCTCAGAGAAGAAAAAAGTATTCACAAAAAATATTTCATGTGATTAGCATCTCTACATAGGAATCCTGAACCAAAAGACAGGCAGCGGATCGGACCACATCACCTGCTAACCTGCTAACCACCGGATCTGACAAATGACACGATATGAAGTGTCCGATCATGGATCGGTCGGGTCCCGAACTACTTCTCGTCCAGACGATAGCGGGCGGCGTGACTGTTAGGCCGCGATCCCGTCTTCTCGCCTCGCTCCTTCTCGAATTGCCCATCGGCCTTGCCCACCCCAGGCTACAATCGTGCAGCCGCCCCTCCCGTCCGCACTTTTCCCCAGTCCCCCGTGCTCCGCCCGTGAACCCACTCGCACGGGTGTGGCGACCAGCGAGGCCACGCGAGGGGGCCAGCAGAGGGCAGTGCGGAACAGGGCGAGCAACCTGCGTCGGTATGGACGAGCATGGTGGCGGAGACCACGGTGTGCTGCTCCCAGCCCTCTCAGCCCCGATGTAGGCTGCGGACGAGGAGTGTACGACGCAGTTGGGCCTCTCTATGGTGCAGGACTCCTCTGGCGCGCCAAGGCCACACGCACAGCTCGTGAACACGGCGCTTCCAAAGCTCCTGCGGGCCGCACATTCGAACGCCTACTCCCCTCCGCACCCACCTGCTCCCTGTGGCGCATCATCGCCTTCTCGGCCGCGACGCAGGCTGCGTGCCTCGTGTCCGAGCTCTCCCTGTGCTGGCGTGCCTCCCAGCCCTCCACCTGACGCTCCTGACGCGCCGGCGCCACTAGCCACTATCCTGGTGCTTATGGTGGAGCTCCACGGAGGTGGCCCTCTCCCTCTGGCCTCCGCCTCTACCGTGTCGTGTTTCCTTGGCCAATGTTGCCCCTACTCAACTCCTCTTCTGTTTTGCTACATATCCACGACTAGGAGTCCACAGAGGAGTTGGCAAGGTATGCTAGCACATGCTTCGTCAGTAAGGCCAGTCACAGCCATGCATATTTCTCATTGTCACCATGTTAGTATGATTAGCACATCTTGGGTGCCAATTTCAGGCTTTGAGCCAATAGGTGGTTTCTGGAGTCCGGACACCCTTGAGCTGCTCGATGAAATGCACAACTAGACTCTGGATAGAATTTTACATATATAACTTTTTGTAGCTTGGAAGTATGGTATATTTGAACTATATGCTGGACAAGTATGCCAAAATTGAGTTCAGACATTTTTTCTTTCTTTCTTTTATTGTGACTAGGCCAAGCAAACATTTTTTTTCTGAATTCTGTACCTAATAGAAAACCAAGTAGCTGTACACTGGTATAGTACAGAGGCAGTTCAAATTCCAATACATGGCCTCCAATTTCCTATTTATCACTAGTTTGTAATAGATGCTTTATCCTGACCAACAATCCAACACATGTTCTTTAGCCAGGTTAAATCAAACATAATACCAACCACCCTTGGTCATCCATGACACCATCTGTTGAAATATTGCTTCTATTTTTAATTTCCAAAGATATAGCAAATATCATTGTTATTCTTGCTTTGTCATAGGTTCTTAACCAATTTGATATGATCTGAAAATTTGAAGTGATTATTAACAATGTTCTCAAGCCCCAGATTTGTTACATGATTATCATATTTAATTATGCTTTTGTGCTAAGTAGTTGCCATTTATGTATCTAAATCTTCAGACTTTTACTACCTTTACTACCTCTGATAGTTGGGTTACCATTTGATATATAATACTTCTGTTGAATCAAAACTATAGAAGCTATATATATTTTTGTCAAGTGCTGGATCGGAATTTTGCAGAACAAATAGGCCACTCAAATCCTTCTACTGAGTGCAGATCCATTACTAACTCTGTGTCCTGTAAAACATGCATTGTGTAGTTCTTAAATTCTACAATTTACAGATAATGCAAAATTAGCTCCAGTAGAAATATTCGAATCAAGTAAGCTTCAGGCAATATTGGGAGACAGACTTGCGTCTGTTGAGGAATTATGAGTGCAGTTTACTGCTTTCTTGATCACTTCCTTGCATGATCCTCATAGCTGTATATTCTTTTTCCCCTTAATGGTAAAACTAACTACAGACCTCACATTCCACATGATATATGTTCTCTCAGTGGTATTGCTTGAAAACTATGAAATGAACTAAACTAGACCCAGGAGTAGAACCCAGCCAGTGGAGGTGCTACTAAAACATCACAACCATTAGGCTATGAGCTCGTTTTCTCATCTGTCAGTAAACCACCATCGATTGTTTTGGCGTTGTTGTCATATTTTAACCACGATCACGATTGGTGACGGAGCCAAGGCTCGTTTCTGGCACGATAACTGGCTTGATGGCGAGGCCCCCAAAAACCTCGCCCCGCACCTGTTCGAGTTGGTTGCAAGGAAAAATAGATCAGTGCAGCAAGAGCTCGACAACGGCAGATGGATGCGCTACCTAAGAAACCGTGTCAGCACCACCGAGCACATGGAGGAATTTGTCTCCCTTTGGATAAGAATCCAAGCCGTCCACCTGCAGCCAGGCGTACGAGACTCCATTATTTGGCGATGGACTGCAAATGGTTCCTATTCCACCCGCTCCACGTATAGGATTGAGTTCAAAGGATCCTATGGCATCTTCAAAAGCGACCTCATTTGGAAGGCCCAGGCGGAAAATAAATGCAAAGTCTTCGCATGGATTCTTGTGCAGGAAAAAATACTAACGGCGGAGAACCTACAGAAAAGAGGATGGCCTCACCAAGATCGCTGCGTACTGTGCAATAGCCCCTTAGAAACGTGCTTACATCTTTCCCTACTTTGCCCGTTCGCCAAGGTGGTATGGAACCAAATCCTAAACTGGGAGCACTTTGACACACACACACAGCTGACTCAGTTCGACCAGGACCCCACTCGCTTGAGTTCATGGTGGGAGGAGACCGTTCCCAAGGTCACAAAAGAAGAAAGAAAGCGCTTCAACGGTTTGGTCATTTACACATGCTAGAATCTTTGGAAGGAGAGAAATCTAAGAATTTTCAGTAACGCCCAGGAATCGGCCTTGCAGGTTGCTTCAAGAATCAAGGAAGACATTGCACAAAGAAAAAGGGCTCTCGAAAGAGAAGGCTAGCAAGCTGGAGTTTGTGTTGTACCCGTGTTCTGCTACTATGTGTTTGCCACTCCTGTTGGCCTACTCTGTTTTCCCTGGCGGTTGATCTATAACCTGTACATAAAACTCTTTTACTCCTTCCTTAATTGAGAGGCAGAGCTCCTGCCGTTCGTTTCAAAAAAAAAAAAAAGATCAATAGAATGTGACATATGTCTGCATATAACTACAGAGTAAAAATGAATAGGATAAACTCCATTTATATGTCTGCTTCCTTAGCTCTTAATTTTAGTTGACAGTTTTTATGTGTTTGTAGCATTACTTCTACATATTTGGGTTCAGTTCGATGGGTCGAATGCATCCCCTGTGGGCAGCTGCAGCTCGATGTTCATGGCTGGCACATGAGGGAAACAAGGCTCTCAAATCATTATCAGCCACATTTACTGTTTCTGCCACCACCATTTGATATTAACTGAAACTCTAGATTCTCTCCAACAAAGACAACATTTCTCCTTACTACACTATCAACTCGTCAAGTCACTAAATAAATTGAAACAAGTCAGCAATGTAGATTCTGTTCATGTTAAAATAGAGTCATGCGCTCTAAAAACCCTGCTTAGTTTCACATCACTTCTGATGCATGGAAATCACTCATGTTACAAACAAATACTATACAAACAAAAGAAACTTACCTAAACACCACGGATCTTACCATGGCCTAAACTATCACCAGGTTTATAAGATGAGGCGTCCATTGCCCATATTTAACAATTGTATCAATAATCGTGCGAAACCGGACGAGGTCTCTATTACTCACGCTGTCACGCATCATGGACTGGCCAAAACAGGCTGTCGCGCGGCAACGCTGCGCATAGTTTCTAGTGGTACCAATGAGTTGCATATCGCATTTTAGAAATTTCTGCATTACATTGTACTCGAGAGAAACCTACCCTCTTTCTGTAGCAGCATCACATCATACACGTACACCCCAAATGCAAATACGAAGAGACAGCGCGGCAACGCTGCGCATAGTTTCTAGTGGTACCAATGAGTTGCATATCGCATTTTAGAAATTTCTGCATTACATTGTACTCGAGAGAAACCTACCCTCTTTCTGTAGCAGCATCACATCATACACGTACACCCCAAATGCAAATACGAAGAGACAGATAATATGGCAAGAAAAACAACAGCATCCCCCCATATCATTTCATCGAACACCTTCCACGCGCCAACGACAACAAGCAACCTAGAATGAATGGAGCAGGGCATGAAGGAGAGCCGTATCTACCTCGAGGGCCTGGCGGTGGCGGCGGCGCGTGCGCAGCTCCTTGACGATGCGTCGGAGATCAACTTCTTCGAGGCGGTTTCCGGGCCGCGCCGCCCACAGTTCAATCTCCGGCACAAGGAGTGTGCCCGGGTTGCCCAGCGGCCACAGCGTGGCCCCCAGGGTCGGCGGCGGCGTTCCCTCCTCCGCGCTGTTGCTGATATACGAGTTGGCAACGGCGCGAGAGGGCGGGACGGGGAGGAGCCCTCCGCGGCGGCCGAGGCTGAGCAGGCGGCGCGCCGCGGCGAAGAGAGAGGACGAGGCCATGGCGAACGGCTTGGCGGCTGGCAGCTTCGGCGCTTCGCGGGCACTCGCTTGCCAGGCAGTAGCCCGTGCGGGGTTTGGGCCTCTCTTCTGGGATTTGGGCTTTAGCTATTTCGGTTTTGGGCCTAGTTCTCGTCGGCCCCTCTCCTTGAATGCTCGAACGGGGAAAAAAAATGCATTCTACATCCCCTAAATTATTGGCGTAGTCTGATTTTCTTCTTGAACTCAACTGATATCTTATCTGAACTCTGAAAACCACTCAAATTGCCTCCCTCTCTTGGTTTGGAGAGGTTTTGAAGGCGTTTTGGTTGAGACGTGTGCTTTTCGCGTGGCTGCCCTATATTGCCATCATGCGACACTCCTTCGCAAGGGGCAGGCCAGCAGCGGGCACCCTTCTTCTACCTCTCCAAACGGCCCAAAAGTAACCCTCTCATTTGTCGCGGTCGGACATCGACACCAAATGTTTGGTTGGAGGCCTCGCAGGTAAATGTTTTCCAGGAAACAAGCTCCAGCCTCTAGACATCCAAAATTCGACGCTTGAGATGCATGTCTAGTTCAGGCAGCTTTATGTAGCCACGAACCAAACGGGGCCCAAGAGCGTGTTTGCTTTTCTTCTTGTGGTGAAAGATGTCTAGCTAGGTATTGGGGCTAGGCATTGAAACGTCTGCGATCGTAATTAGATGCACATGCAGTCCCAGGTGAGGGACTAAAATGTCTGCTTGAAATGAGTGGGCGAACAGACTACATGGTATTTCATGAGTAAGTACTCCCTCAGTCCAAGAATACAATGCATTTAAACATTAAAAAAGTTATATCTAAATATAAAAGATTTTAGAAAAAATAGTTGTGCATTGAATAGTAGTACAAATTTGGCAAGTATTATATCGTTAATTTCCATTTATCAATCAATCTCTATTAACACGCTGATGATAGCGGCTAATTAAAAATAGAGTAAGGATATAGTGTGTGTGTTTGTATTCTCTTAGTTTATTCTAAAAATTTTAAAATACATTATGTTATAGAATAGAGGGAGTACATCACATTTAACGAATCTGGTTTGATACCATTAGTGTTACAAATAGAAATGAAATCAAATCACAGGGTAATCGGATGTGGGATGGATGATTGCGGCCTTTCCTTTGGTTTGGTAAGGTAACGGTATACCAGTACCACGCCATTTTGAAACAGTTCCGAGTCCCGACGCCGGGGCGTGAGGTCGGGCTCGGCCATCTGGAAGGCGGCCTGCAGCCTAGCGACATCCTCTGCGCAACATCCACGGAGAAGCCATAGCCACTGCAATCGGTGCGCCATTGCCTGCCGCAACCATGCAGCTCCTGCTGCCGTGCATCAGGTCACAGACAGTGCCGACACAGACGTACGTCTCTTGATCTCCGCCGTGGAGCCTGTAGCGGTGACGGCACTGGCCTATCCAAGATGAACCTGACTTTCCTTTGTCCATCCATGCCTGCTGGCTTCAAGATCGAAGTGGCAGTAACGGATCACGCGGTCACGCATTACACCAAGCACAAGTACCGGCATCGCTTCCCCTCGGTGGTCTGATTATTATGCTACTACTTCCTCTGATCTAAATTTTAAATCGTTATGATTTTTCTAAATACATAACTTTTATTATGTGTCTATACATGATGTATATCTAGGTACGTGATAAAAACTATATATCTATTATCTCGAAAAGACAAAAAGACTTAAAATTTCAAATGGAGGGGACACAAAACAAATGACGAATCAAACACCACCTTATAAAACTCAGATAGTATACTGTAATTAATAAAAACAACCAACTACCCAAGGAAGGGGGTAGCTAGCTATTAATTTAATCTACAATTAGGAGTAGTACTCCCTTACCAAAAAAAAGTATCATTCCCATTTCCCGAGAAGTTAAACTTTTTTTAACTTTGACTAAATATATATAAAAAATTAATATTTATAGTGCATAATTAGTATCATTAGATGAATCGCTGAATATAATTTCATAAATAAACTTATTGGGAGATACAAATATTGCTAATACCTTCTACAAACTGGTCAAACTAAGCATGAACCTCATAGCGAGATTATTTTTGGATGGAGGGAGAATATAGGATCAGACAGCAGTACTGAAGCACCATTTCACTGACAATCAAGGTCAGCCAATACTATCCTCACGAGGAGCTTCCGTTACCTCTTCAGCTTTCTTTTCTTCTCTCGAACGAGCCCTTGACAAAGCCTCGGTCATATCAGAGTTCATTGGCACAACAACTTTCAGCAGATCAATGAAAGCTTCCACATCCTTGACCTCCCCTTCATCTCCAAGATACTTAAGTATCATCTCAATCATCGAAGGGCTCGGGATCCAGCCAGAATTAGGGGCGCACATAGAGAGGGCATTTTTGGTCAGCTCATAAGCTCTCGCGACATCACCTTTCTTCGTATAGCCACTTGCCACAATTGCCCAGCTGGTTGCAGAAGGCTTCTTACCCATGGTCAAGAAGCCATCGAGCAGCTCCTCAGCCTTGTCCAGCAAGCCCTTTTGGCAGTATCCTTTGAGCAGGATATTTGGAACACTGAAGTCGAATGCATTTTTGCTGGACTCCCACTCTTTCACCAAGTCTTCAGCTTCCCCGATCTCATCAAGCTTCACAAGCATTGCAAGCATGTTCATGTATCCCTTGTTGATATACCTCTTACGGTTCAACATCTGCAGTGCCCATAGCTTCTTGACCTCTGATTTGTCCCCAACGAGGCCATACAGGGAAATCAAGTGCCTATAGGCACCCGAATCCTTTTTATCCATTTTTGCATCTACTTTCTGTAAGGCAGAGTATGCATTCTCCCTTAGGTCACCCTTAATGTAGTGGCTTGCAACAACAGCATAGGTATACCAGCGAACAACAACTCAAGGCGTACATTCCATCTCCTTGGGGTGTTCTCCAACCTAGAAAAGTCAGCTCTTGTGCCATAAGCATTTATGCATATGTTGTAGCTAAAATAATCGGGAACAATCCCATTGCTCTTCATTTCTGCCATCACCAAAGGGACCCTCTCATGCTGCCCTATTTTGGTATAGAGGTCATGAGGTTGTTGTAGGGGAGCGCGGCGAACACAAAACCCATCTCTTTCATCTTCTGAAAATGGGCCAACGCTTTGTCAACCAAGCGTTCTCGTGTGTAGCGGTTGAGAAATGCACGATAGGGTTTCTCTGTCTTATCTTTGTCAGATAGGTTATTGAAGTAGGTCTCTGCTGCTCCAACTCCATGAAAATGACCGATTAAATTCAGGTGAAGAGCATGATCCTTTGGTAGAAATTTGACGTGACCCTTGAGATTCATCCACTCAGAGACCTGTGCAAAGTGAAAAAATAATGATCAATGAGGGATGCCCCAAGAATTCGTACAAAACTGTGCATACAGCAAGTCTGCAGCGCTAAGTCCTAGAACATATATGCTTCTTGAGGACATGTATTCACTAATCATGTGCTATGAATCAATGATGGCCAAGCTTGTACTAAATCCTATATGTTTATCAGCATTGTGGATACACATAGGGGTAAGCACATAAGTGGTACCTATGACTGAAAAAGTAAAAAGCAGGCCAAAATCTCTTGAGCCTGGACTCCTGAATTCCTAGCGATAATCAAAGTTGCCCTCTTTGTATCAGTCCTATCCATGTTTCTCACAAAAGGACAAAGTATTCACAACAACTATTTCACGTGATTAGCATCGTAGCAATGAGTCGCATATCGCATTTTAGAAATTTCTGCATTACATCGTGATCGAGAGAAATATATCCTCTTTCTGTAGCAGCATTACATCATACACATACACCTCAAATGCAAATACGAAGAGACAGATAATATGGCAAGAAAAACAACACCATCTCCATATCATTTCATCGAACACCTTCCATGCAACAGTGACAACAAGCAACCTAGAATGAAAGGGAGATGGCATGGAGGAGTGCCGTATCTACCTCGACGGCCTGGCAGTGACGGCGGCGCCTGCGCAGCTCCTTGACGATGCGTTGGAGCTCAACGGCTCGGAGTCGGTTTCCGGACCGCGTCGCCCACATTTCGATCTCCGGCACAAGGAGTGTGCCCGGTTTGCCCAGCGGCCACAGCGTGTACTGCAGGCTCGGCGGCCGCGCCGGCAGCATTCCCTCCTCCGCGCTGTTGCTGCGAGACGAGGAGGCTATGGCGCGAGAGGGCGGGACGGGGAGGAGCCCTCTGCGGCGGCCAAGGCTGATCAGTCGGCGCGCCGCGGCGAAGAGAGAGGACGAGGCCATGGCAAATGGCGTGGCGGGTGGCAGCTCGGCGGGCACTGACTTGCACTTGGCGTATGCCGTAGCCTGTGGGGGGTTTGGGCCTCTCTCTGGGATTTGGTCTCTAGCAATTTCGGTTTTTGGCCCAATTCTCGTCGACCCCTCTCCTTGAAACTCATGCCCGAACGGGGAAAAAAGCATTCTACATCCATAAATTATTGGCGCAGTCTGATTTGGAGAGGTAATTTGAGCGGTTTTCACAGTTAGTAGAGACATCCTCTGTGCAACATGGACGGAGACGGAGAAGACATAGCCACTGCAACATGGACGGAGACGGAGACTTGGGCACTGCAAAAGTTGTGGCGCCTCCACTCCGATGCGCCATTGCTGCAACCATGCAGCTCTTGCCGTCGTGCATCAGGTCACATACAGTGCCGACACAGCCGTACGTCTTGATCTCCGTCGTGGAGCCTATGCGGCGACGGCACTGGCCTATCCAAGATGAACCTGACTTAGTCCATCCATGCCTGCTGGCTTCAAGATCGAACTGCCTGCTGGCCCCTGGCCAGTAACGGATCACGTGGTAACGCATCGCATTACACCAAGCACGTACCGGCTGTTGGCTCATAGTTAGCCTCTCGACCACCGAGATGATCTTCAGACTACTTCGTTGGTCTCACAGGATCACCGGCTCACGATATTGAACCACTCCAGCCGATCTTGCCGACCACCGGCTCAGGCGAGTGGAGCACTTGTCGGTCTCGCCGAGCACGCGCTAGTGTTGCCGAGCACCCACTAGCCGTGCAGACCACATACCGGCGTTGTCCGTACCCACACACACTACGGATCGAGCTCGAAGAGGAAGGAGAAACGAGAGCAAGCACGCACAATACAAGGCAACGGCGTTGGCGAAGCCCCCAATACGTGTGATGGCAAATCAGAGCTCTCTTTCTTGAGTTGCCATACATGTCTATTTATACAACTCTAACTATCTAATTCATATGCGGCGCCCATGCGCATACTGATAACTAGATAATTTGTGAAGGCTGACTCTGCGCCGGCCACTACTACACACCTCTGATCTTTGTCAGAGGTGAGCCGTGCGCGCCTGCACCTCTACGACTCATCAGATCACGGCCGAGGGGCAAAGTCGGCGCCGCCTTCCCTTGTTGTGTTCACACACACAGAAGTGACTAAGTCGGCGCCGTCTTCCTCTGCTGTGTTCTCACAAAGTGACAGTAAATTAGCTAACAATCTTTCCATAATCCTACTGCTAACCCTTGTAACCCCTCCATGCCGATCATCTCCTTCAGCTCCGTGAGTCGAAGTCTTCCGAGCGGCTTGGTGAGGACGTCCGCGCTCCGTGAGTCGAAGTCTTCCGAGCGGCTTGGTGAGGACGTCCGCGAGTTGCCGACCAGTTTCGACAAACTCGATGACGATCGCCCTCCATCAACACAGCCCCGAGCAAGTGGAACTTCACGTCGATGTGTTTACTCGGTCGCATGAACAGATTCTTCGCGAGGCGATGGCGGGCTGGTTGTCCACCATCGATCTTTGGTGGGTGAGCTTCACGCCGATTAGCTCACCCGCCGGCCAGTTTCTCAGCCACACAACTTGGCACGCGCCATTTGTGGCGCCGCTACGTACTCGCCTTGCGTGAATAGCGCTACCACCTTATTTCGGCGATAGCCATGAAATTGGGGCTGACGAGGAAGAGCGACGAGTACCCGAGAGGTGCTCCGTCGTCCGTTGATGTCCCCGCCATCTGCATCATCGCCGAACACCGTGAGTCTGCAGACCTACTTCCCCGGTCTTTGGGAAGATGATTCCATGATTCACCGTCCCCCTTGACGTAGCGTAGTAGCCGCTTTATCGTAGCCCAGTGATGATCCTCTGGGATCCTCCATGAAGCGGCGAGCGTAGCCCACGGCGAACGCAATGTCACGGCCTTGTGTGGACTAGGTAGCGCAGACCGCCGACGATGCTCTCAGAGAGTGTTGCATCTACTTTCGCCGCGGTGCTATCCTTCGTCGACTTCAGCCGCTCCTCCATGAGTCACGCATGGCTTGCACTCCACCATGCCGCTCCTCTCCAACAGCTTGGAGGCATCGCGCTTTTCCCGGCGTAAGTTCCTCCTTCCCTGTCTCACCTCGATGCCGAGGTAGTAGGAGAGAGCGCCAGAGATCGCTCATTCGAAAACGAAGCTGCCATCTCTCGCTTGAAGGTGTTGATATTCTCCGATGCGCGCGCCGGTGGCGATTAAGTCATCCACATACACGCCGACCACGAGTTCTTCCTTCCCCGTCGTCGCGTGTAAGCGCGTGCTCGGTTGCGCACCTCTGAAACCCAAGCTTCGCCCGGCGTGGTGTCAAGCTTGGCGTTCCATGCTCGAGGGCTTGAAGAGGCGCTTTGCTGTGATGGAGCACCCTGTGCTCCTCTCCTTGACAGCGAACCACGGAGGTTGCTTAGCGAAGACCGTTTCCGCCGGCTCGCCGTTGAGGAAGGCCGATTTAACGTCCATGTGATGGGCGCGCGCGATCCTTCTTTGCCGCCAAAGCAAGTAGCAAGCGGACCGACTCCATCGCGCGCTTCTTGGTGCAAAGACCTCCTCAAAGTCGATGCCCTCGCTATTTGGACAAAGCCTTCTCGGCGGCGAGGCGGCGCCTTATACTTGACAATGGCGCCGAGCTCGTCCCTTTTGACTTTGTACACCCACTTCAGTGATCGGACGGCGGCATCTCGGGGTGGATCGACGAGTATCAAGTCTCGTTTTCCTCGATCGCCTTCATCTCCTCCGGCATTGCCCGTCGCCCGGTTTCCATCGCGCTCGGCTAAGCGCGAGCGTGGGTGGTTCCTCGCAGCGATGAATAGCAGCTCTGCGTCGTTGAGCGACCTACCCGCCATACACGAGGGACTGTCGCTCGCCGACGATGTCGTCCAACCTCACGGAACCTCAACTCCTCACCTTCGTGGTAGGCGTCCACGAACTCGGTGATGTCACTTGGAGGTGAGGCGAACTCGATCGGGGTGATGGAGTTCCTTCTTCTGTTGGAGTGCCCACCGATAGCTTTTGAAGTGCTCAACCTTTATACGGGATCGCCTTCGTCATAACTCATACGGTGTTCGGCCACACTATAGGAGTGCCCAGCCTCGATCTTAGAGTGGTCGGAACCACACAAGAAGACGTCTTGGCTCCGCCACGGGAGTGCTCGGTACCCGTCACGAAGTGGTCGCCGCCATTTGTAGAACCGCTGGCTCCACTCTGGCGTGCTCGGAATTCCTTGAAGTGCTCGACACTCCTCTCTCGAGTGCTCGGCATCCCTCCTAAAGTTTGCCTTTGCCCGAAGTGCTCGACTCTACCGGCCGAGTGTGCTCGGCGCTCCTCCCGAGTGCGTGGCTTTTTGTTCCAGCGTCTCCACCGCCGTGGATGACCAAGTGCCCGGCGACGAAGGTGTTGGTGAAGCCTCCCCGCTTCCCTTGTGCTCGGCTGTGCGGTCCCAAGCTGCCTCCTCGTTGAACACAATGTCGCGAGGCAGTCACCTTGTCTCCGCATGGGTCATAGAGCCAGTGACGCCTTGGTACCCTCGCGTAGCCAGGGAACACCATGGGTGTGCTCTCGTCCTCCGGCTTGGTGAGGTTCGGCCGTCTCCCGGACGGCGTGGCGATGCAACCGAATGTCGGAGGAATGACACGTTCGGCTTGCTCCGTACCAAGCTTCGAGCGACATCTTGCCCGTTAGGGCTTTGGTTGGAGCGCGGTTGAGGATGAACACCTTTGTGGTCACCGCCTCTCCCCGAACTTTTGCGGCATCCCTTTGGTCTTCACATGGATCGGGCCATGCCGACCACCGCATGCGGTTCCGTCGCTCCACCACGCCATTCTGTTGTGGCGAGTATGCGGTAGCGGTGTGATGTTGCCCCACACCTTGATCCGTGCAAGACGTAGCAAACTCCACCGAAGTGAATTCGCCACCCGATCGGTCCTCGATGCGAGGAGCTTCTTGCCGCTCTCGGCCTCCGCGTGTCTTGAACTTCTTGATCGCCACCGCCGCTTCGTCCTTGCTCGTCGGGAGTTGCGACCACATGTAGCGGCGCAATCGATCCCACAGTAGGAGGAAGTACCGCCGACCACCGCATGTAGCAGCGTGATCGGCCCGCAGAGGTCGCCGTGAACTAGCTCGAGAGCTTCCTTCGCGCGATACTTGGCAGCCGCCTTTGGGAAAGGTAGCCTCCTCGCTTCCCGGCCGGCGGTATCCTGCGGCTTGCCTCCGTGTTTGATGTAGGGTAGCCCTCGGACCATCTTCCCACCGACCAAGCGCGGCCGCGGTTGAGATGTCCGAACCGGGCATGCCACATCCACGGTTCCTCGAGTGCCTTGCCGCCGAGCAAATCGGTTGCTCTACCTTGGTCGGCGGTACAACCGTTCGAGGACCTCTTCACCTTGGCGAGAAGTCGCGCTCTGGTCTCGATCCTCGAACACCGTGCCCTTGATCGAAACCTCGCTACGCGCTCATCCGGTGACCAATGCTAATGATCTTTGGGCGTAGTTGCGGGATGTAGTATACATCCGTTAGCGCGCGGTGCTCCCCATTCTGGCATCTGAAGATAATGGTGCCGCGCCCTTGGATAGCCACCCTTGAGCCGTCACCAAACTTTACCGTACCGGTAACATCGCCGTCGAGCTCGGAGAAGGAGTTCTTGGAGCCCGTCATGTGGTTACTGGCACCAGAGTCCAGATACCACCGCTGCTCCTGGTCGACGCCCACATGCCCAAGATGGACTTGGACGCGTGGTTCGTCGAGGTTGACGGTCTTCAGGGCCTTGCTAGATCCTTCCACCATCGTCGCCTCTTCCCTCTCCATGGCCTCGACGTCATGCAGTGCACAGAACGTCGCCATAAGGATAGTAGCCTCATCCTCATCATCGGCTTTCGCCAGGTGAGCTGAGCCTTCTTTTCCTTCTTGCGATTTGGGCACTCCCGTGCCCAATGGCCCATCTTCCGCAACACCGGCGGCGTTGAGAGCG